TTATAAGTATGTTACACATATATTATAAATCACAATAAAATCATTAATTTATCAATGAAAATATATGGGTGTTGTTTATCCACTAGGGAGCGTTTTGGTTGAAGTTAAGCACAAAGTTACACAATGGGCTATACCCACAATCGTGAACTTTCTGGCGCGCTGTAGAATATGATAGGTGTTTGGTCGTGGGAGGGTCAAAAGCTATCTCTTCCTCCTTCCTGGATGGTTTATTTATTTACAATTAAATGCTAGACGAAACACATCACGAGATTAGGGCTCAAAACACTTCACGGGTAATTACACTGATCCTATTTTCCTCTTCATGGCCATGTACATAAATGTAAAACTAACAGTATTTAATGCTTTTTTGCCACATCTCTTAAAATGGTTGTCCCACACTTCACAACCAGTTCAGTTGGCAAACCTTTCATTACATTACGTTATCAGATGCGTATTTGACAAAATACCCCTTTAAATACATTTGCGATACCTTAATCTAAAGGATATTTTATGGTCTAGCATAAATGGCTTTTTTGTTATGGTACATATTGAGGGAAGAGAGATATTTAGGGCTATCATCATCATCATCGTGTATGATATAGCGATCTATGGATGTTAGTAAGTAATTTTTTGTATAGAATTTTGTCAAAGTATCTGAAAAAGCAATCTAAGAGTCTGTCGTAGCTTGGCTGTACTTTTAACATCTGTGCATAAAAGCTGTGTTTGTTGATCTCGATCCTCTGAATGTTGTGGTGATTATTGAATTTTTTATTGTTCCTAATTTCCTAATATTTGAAGGTGCAATATTAATCCACGCTATACAGGCACATTCGATTACTGAACGTATGTATTGTTTATAAATTTTATTCATGTTTTCTGGTGATGCTCCTGTATTTCTCCTAGCGTATCTTGCTTGTTTATTTTTAATTTAGGTGATATGTTTTACCTATGTTAATATATAATTGTATGTTAGTCCTAGGAGTTTTGTTGATGTGAAAGCATGGAAACGAGTTTGTAAATATAATTTGGATGGGTGTCTATGTGTTTTGATCAATTTCGAGAATAATACCTGGTTTTTGGAACATATATTTAAACTATTTGGTTTACTACTGGTTGTAAGTCTGTAGCGGCTATTGAGGAGGTCATAGAGGCCACATCGTCTGCGAATTGAAGTAAAATTAAAATTTGGATCTGTTAGAGGCATATCGTTTAAACATTTTCTGGTGCGCCCACTTGACACATTTTACATTCGAAATAAGCCGCGCAAATGATCATTTTGAGGGTAAGCTATAAAAAAAAAAGTTTTGAAAGTTAATGCTTCTTATTTCTCTTGTGAGAATCAGTAACATTGGTTCCAACATGTGCTAGAGAACAAAAGTTCTGAAAAATTACCTATAATACAGTGTGGAAAGCCAATTGGCCAATGGCCATGTGTGGCCAACTCGTAGAATCATCAGTAGTGTGTTTTTCTAGCTGGTCAGAGAAAAAGAATGTCAAATCTCTCAATGAAATTTCACGCTTTGGTAATTTTGAAGAAGTATTTTTTTTTTTGTATTTTGGCGTTGTGTTTATAAACCTTGACTGTCATTAGAATCCTGAAATATATTCATTTAGCACAAATCTTCTGTTTTATCAATAGTGTGTCCATTTCTGTGATCGACTGGCCACGTGGCCAGTCGAAAAAAATTTGGGTGCCCACTCATGCTATAATATATTCATAAATGTTTAAATACATATTATAGCTTCGTAATACTAAAATGTTAAAAAAATAAAATACGATGATTTAGTTTTTTAGAATGTTGAGTTTATTGAAAAACTCTCCATTCTAAGAACAAAAGGTTCAGCCTTCATTAAGCCTCTCCGTTTCTTGACGTTCGTCAATTTTAGTATTATGGGTTTTGTGAATTGTTGAAAATGTTTATGAAAGCGTTAGATTGCTTGTAACATTATTACTATAATGTCGTTAGGAGCAAACAGCAGGACTGCAAGTTTTAGGAGCAAACAGCAGGGCTGCAAGTTATTTACGTTAATATAACAGTTTCTGTTTCAGGACTGTACAGATTGATTTTCAATCAGTTACATCGTGTCGAATGTTAGTTAGTCCTACTGATACTTGTAGGTTCAGTAGAATGTTACTACAGAACCTACAAGTATCAGTAGGACTAACAAGGTTAGTTCTTTTGATACTTGTAGGTTTTGTAAAATGTCAGTCCTACTGATACTTATAGGTTCTGTAGAGTGTTAGTTAGTCCTACTGATACCTGTAGGCTCTGTAGAATGTTAGTTAGTCCTACTGATACTTATAGGTTCTGTAGAATGTTAGTTAGTCCTACTGATACTTGTAGGTTCTGTAGAACGTTAGTTAGTCCTACTGATACTTGTACGTTCTGTAGAACGTTAGTTAGTCCTACTGATACTTTTACGTTCTGTAGAACGTTAGTTAGTCCTACTGATACTTGTAAGTTCTGTAGAATGTTAGTTAGTCCTACTGATACTTGTAAGTTCTGTAGAATGTTAGTTAGTCCTACTGATACTTGTAGGTTCTGTAGAATGTTAGTTAGTCCTACTGATACTTGTAGGTTTTGTTGGATGGTACTTTTTAAATCTGATTGTATTATTACAAACACCATACAATAGATGTTGTAGAATTTTGATTCTGTTCTTATTCTTACAAAAACTGTCTTTTTTGTTTTTAAACGAATGTGCCTAGGTTCTGTTGGATGGTACTTTTTAAATCTGATTTTATTCTTACAAACACTATACGATAGATGTTGTAGAATTTTGATTATGTTCTTATTCTTACAAAAACTGTCTTTTTTTTTTTGTTTTTAAACGAATGTGCCTAGGTTCTGCCCATTGAACAGACCCTGTAATGAAGAAGGAATGTTAACAATAATTTCAACTTTACTACGTGTATCTACATGAAAGGTGGTAAACTTCTAGTAAAATATACAAGTCTATTGTACACAACATTAAAGTATTTGTACCCAACATATGACTGTGAATTACGGGACATGGTTCATGTAAAGAACAGAAATAATTTGAATACGTTGAATGGCGCTCTAAAATGTCGTGACATGCGCAACACTCGTTCACATAGGTTTAAATACATCATTTAATTGCTCTTTTTTTTGTCATTTGCCCTGAAAATGGGAGATCCACCCGGGTTATTGTTTGTTTTTCTTTTACGTTCTAATAATAGCTGAAAATCATGAATCTTGCACCAAATGGAGCTTGCATTATTAACTTGTTTATAACACATCTATGCTTACAGTGTTTTAACTATAATTCCTAAAACTAACATAAGAAAAATTAATTAATTAAAATATAACAGCTTTTCAGTCACTCACTTATCAATAACTTCTAGGTAGATGGTTGTTAAGTAACTTTTAAGTGATAAAAGGGGAAACGTGGTTCAGTGTCTTTACTTTCAATTGTAAAGGAAATTTATCGAGAGTAATGAACAAGCGTACTATGTGGAAAGAACATTTAACGAACAATTCGGAGATTGTTAGTTTTTAAGC